TGCCGGTGCCCCCCCCGCCCTGGGACGCCCCGCCGAGGGGAGCGGGCGCCCCGTCTCGCCCGCCGTCCCGCGGCAGCCCCGGAGAGCGGCCCCGGCCCCGGTTCACGAGCGGGTTCTTTGCCTTGCAGAGGAGAACGAGGAGAAGCAGCCGCTGACCAGCAAGGAGGAGGAGGAGCGGCGCATTGCCGAGATGGGGCGCCCGGTCCTGGGCGAGCACGCCAAGCTCGAGGTCATCATTGAGGAGTCCTACGAGTTCAAGGTACCAGCGGCACCGCGCGTGCTCTTCAGCTGAGTTAAGCTTTCCCCCTAAATATAATCTAATGCTGTCATCTCCATGCTCCCACCTGCAGAACACGGTGGACAAGCTCATTAAAAAGACGAACCTGGCGCTGGTGGTGGGCACCAACAGCTGGAGGGAGCAGTTCATCGAGGCTATTACTGTCAGCGCTGGTAAGTGCGGGCTGCTGCTCCGGGTGGCCTGTGCTAAAGCTCTCACACCTCTCAGTTTGGCTGGGTCCGTTGTAGCAGAGTGGCACGAGGCAAGAGAGGCTGTGGAGTTAGCTGCAATGTCTGCAGATATAAAAAAGCTCAGCAAGTCTTGCAATAGCATCACTGGCTGATGCACAGGTAGCCTCCTGCATCAAGGGCTTCGCTAGCACCTGGCAGAGGAGCATCCTGGTGGCTATCAAATGGCAGGGGGGAGAAGTCATTCCAGCGAGAGAAATTGGGGGGCCAGTTGTTTAAAGCCACTAACGTTGTGCTGGATCTCCAGGAGAGCAATCAGATACATCTTGAGAGGCCAAATGCCTCTGAGCCCAGCGGGACAGGAATGGGCACCCACCACCGGGCTGCTCGGAAAGGATCTCCTGCATTTGGCTGCCCCACTTAGCTTCCCAGGGAAAATCCTGCCTGCTTAACTCCTAAAGCCCCAGGCTAAGGGCTGGGAACCGCTGTGAGCGCGTTGTTTGCCTCTGCCCCATTTGGAGACGCCTCTTTGTGTCACCTTTCAAGCAGGAAGGCAGAGTGCAAATCCTTTTATTTTTTCCCCAAATCTTCACTACAGATGACTGCAACCCCAGAGGTTGTGGTTCAGGGGCTCAATAGCAGCTTGTGCTCTTTGTGATCATGTCTACGTCTCTCTTGAAGAAGTGCCTTTCCCTCAGAAATACCTTGCTGAACTGAGCCAATGCCAAGATGATCAGTATGTCCAGTCTGGGTTTAGCAGTAGGCCCAGCAGGACCTCCTGTGGGAAGCTGAAAAGAGAAAGTCTCCTGCAAATGTGATTTTAGAAGCAGGAGACATTATAATTCACTGGTTGGAAGACACAGTCCCTGCAGCCCAGCCTGGGCTGCATGTGTACACACACCAGGGCAAAATCAACCAGCTTAGATTAAATCACTGAGAAGGATGATTCGAGCTCATCTGGTTAATTTTGTGTTGACATCCAAGAGGGAACATTCATACTTCCTACTCCAACCTCTGCAGTGCAAGGACAACTCTCTGACCGGCACAAATTAAAAGTGATGGCCATCCCATCTTCCCTGTGCCTCCGAGAGCAAGGACAGGACATCTTGGAGCAGCCATCTCCTCCAATCGTGGTCTCTCCCTTCATAGCATTGTTATTCTCAAAGCCTCCAGCCAAAAAGCTTCCCATTATTTTGGATATGGCACGGATATATTATGTGAGACAGTCCTTGCTGCAGGTTTTGTAGCTAATAAGACTAAAATAATCTATGCCAGAATCAATTACTTAATTGCACTCCATATTATGGCAAAGATAGTCACTGGTCCTTGCGTCTCACCTCTGTGACACGTGTGGGGACCGCAGTTATGTGGAAGGCCTCGTCACTGCTGTGCCTTGAGCGTGCAGCCATCATTAGTGCTAGAAGAGGGATTAATGGAGATGCAGTGTTGGTGGACACGAGCAAACTCTTGTAAATGGCCATGAAGAGCTTGCCTTGGAGCTCCACACCTAAGTTTTTGCCAGGATTTATCTCTTCTGCTCTTGTGCTAGCTGAGTTACCACATCTCAAAGGCCTTTCCCAAGCAGCGAGCAACCAGGGGCCATGCTAGCCAAGGGCATGAGCAGGTAGGAGAAGGTCTTGAACACACGGGCAGTGCTGGACCATGTGGGGCCTTACCAGGGCCTGCTGCACTGACGTTGGCTGCTGCCCCTGGTTTGTGTGCAACAGCCCCCAAGCTGGTTCCTGCAGCAGGTTTATGCCAGACCCTCTGGGTCAGCATCCACCTTCCCACTGCCTTTCCAGACAGCTTGGCAGGAGCTGGCAGCTCCTTGGAGGAGAGCACCGTTATTCCTGCTTAACTGAGTGTTCGGCAGATCTGCAGGAATATTATGAGAGTGGCCCTCCTGTTCATTTTTTTAATCTATTTTATCATTTCTATAAAGATTTAAATCCAGGACAGCCCTGCAGCTGTTTGGGAGAGATTTAAAATCCCTGCTGAAAAATTACAGTGTCAGCACAGGGTGCCCTGCAAGGACCAGCCTTTGTGCAGTGGGCAAAAAAAAAGACCAGTGGTGGTTTCCTGGACCAAAAAATATGTTGCTTATCTCCACCATGATACCCAAGAATGGGATACTTATATCTGCCAAAGTATTAGCACCATGCTTCTGATCAGCTACTTCTGCCACAGGGAGCATGATGCTTGAAGGCTGAGCAAGACACGACTTTCCATCCTTGTGTTGTAGAGACACCAGGTTCCTCTCCGCCTCTTGCTTACCTGTTGCTCTTGATCTGCAAAGGTGCTTCAAAGGCAAAGCTGCATCCCAGTAGGGCACTGAAGAGGACTCCCCCAGATTCTGTTTGACTTTATTTAGTGAGATCTTGAAAATCTCTGAAGTTGGAGATGTTCATTGCCCCAACTATGTGTCCCACTGTCCTGGAGAAGAAGTTTCTGCTGCTCTCCAGCTGTTACCTCCCAAGCTATAGCTGGAGAAGGTTGCCCCTTGTTGTATGGCTTGTCAGTGGGTTTGGCTTGTATCTCCCCTCCGTGATGCTGTGGGTGAGGATGCCCCATGTGCCTGGAGGGATAAAACACATCAGAGACAAGGGCAAAGTGCTGCTTCCAAGGCTAGGAGTGTCCTTAACACAGCTTGCAATGGTCTTTGAATGCCCAGTTCTTGTGGCTTAGAAACCCATTTCAATGTGCCCTGCGTTCCAGAAAAGGAGATATTTGGAAGTGATGGCTCCTAGGGCCATCTCTGATCCCAAGCAATGAAAGAGGGTGTCTGGGGGGGCTCTTGCCTGCACAGGAGCTTTGCCAAACCCCCAGGACAGGTGAGTCTAATCTGGCACTGATGGTTTTTTTCCAGGTGAAGATGACGACGATGATGAATGTGGGGAGGAGAAGCTGCCCTCCTGCTTTGACTACGTGATGCACTTTCTGACCGTCTTCTGGAAGGTCCTTTTTGCCTTTGTGCCCCCAACAGACTACTGGAATGGCTGGGCCTGCTTTGTTGTCTCCATCCTCATGATCGGCCTCCTGACAGCCTTCATCGGCGACCTGGCCTCCCACTTCGGCTGCACCATCGGCTTGAAGGACTCCGTGACCGCGGTCGTGTTTGTCGCGCTAGGAACGTCAGTGCCAGGTAAGGCCAACGGGGAAGCTTCTTCCGAAGCTCCATCTCTGTCCAGTCAGGACTCAAGTTTGGGATGGGAAAGCAGGGCATACCAAGGTGCTCAACTGTTTTCTCCACGACCTAATGAGGAGAGATTTAAAACATTCGTGGAAGCTGTGTTGAGTCTCAGGTGGGACAGGAAGATGGAGCCAAGGGTATGAATTCAGTCCTCACGCATCTTTCTCTCACCAGTCCCAAACTTCCAATAATCAGCACTTGGGTGCTCTAAATGCTTGAAAATGGCCTGAAGATTTTGAGGCTAGAAAAAAAAAAAAAAAACAGAACAATAAAAATAGAAGATAGATCTGGACAAAGGAAGAAAGGAAAGGGAATTTTTGGGACTTCTGGAGCTTTAAGGCATTAGTTCTGCAAGAGTGTTTTGTAGTCTGGACAACCTAAAACTTCCCTCCTGTTCCTGCTGTTTTTTGCTGAAATTTAAGGAGACATTTCACAAAGGCAGGAGATTCTATTTATGGCTGCTTTTGACTTACCCTGTTTGAATAAGATATCTCCAGACCTTGTTATATTATCTGGGCATTGGCTGCACTCCCTAAAGGAGGTAGGCAGAGAGTGGACAAAATGAAGCATCTCATCTGTTTCATTTGTTGAGTTTCTGGAGTTGATTTTATGGAATAAAATACAAATATCTGGCCTGATATAGGGGCTAAAATACTGGTGGTGTGTGGTGGGTATATCCCAGTTCTGCTCCTGTGGTGCTAAAGCTGCTGGGGAGCCTGGACTCGCAGGCACCCAACGGTGCAAATTTTCCCTTCCACAGAAGGGACGAAAACTGAGCTCTTCTTCACCAGTGTCTCAGGGCCTGGGCAAGATACTGTTAAGACAGAGAGGCAAAAGGAGAAATTCAAAGCCTATTTCTCTGCCTCCTGTCCGCAGACACCTTTGCCAGCAAAGTGGCAGCGACGCAGGACCAGTACGCGGACGCCTCCATCGGGAACGTCACCGGGAGCAACGCCGTGAACGTTTTCCTGGGCATCGGGGTGGCCTGGTCCATCGCGGCCATCTACCACGCGGCACACGGACAAGCCTTTCAAGTCTCGCCCGGCACCTTGGCCTTCTCCGTCACCCTCTTCACCATTTTTGCGTTTATCAGCGTGGGTGTGCTGCTCTACCGGCGGAGACCTGAGATCGGAGGTGAGCTGGGCGGGCCGCGGACTTCCAAGCTGCTCACGTCCTCCCTCTTCATCCTCCTTTGGCTCTTGTACATATTCTTCTCATCTCTGGAAGCCTACTGCCACATAAAGGGCTTCTAAAGGAACACTCAGAGATAGAAATTGTATATATATCTATATGTATCTATATAGAGTGATATATAGGTATAGATATAGATATAATGCTGTGTATAATGAACAGAGAAAGAATAAAGGAGATTTGCCATGTTCACACACCTGCTGATGGGGAGCAGCTTTGGAGCGTTCTTTGAACTAGAGACGGGAGCCCAAAGCTGGCAGCACCTCGGCCCGGGGCAGCGGCCCCGGGGCAGCCGG